GGTGGGTGGAGAGGGGGATTTTTTTCTCTTAATGCCTGACACATAGTAGGTGTTCCAGAAATCGTTTTTCAACGGACTTGGGGAAATGCAATTACCGTATCTCAGTTTTGTTTAAAATACTCAGTATTCGACATTTTGAAGTCTGAACATTTTTCTCAGTGTGTCGGGGGCTGCTGCACTGGGGGAAAGCAGTGTTCCCGGAGTAGGACGAGCAAGGAGGAATCCGGCTTTGCCTCTCAGAGCTCAGTTCCCCAAACCTGTGCTCTGCGGACGCTCTCCTCCTGCAGACGCTGCCGACTGCTGCCGGGAAGGCTCTGAGGCCTTTGAAATACCGACGGGAAGAACAGAAACAGGAAAATCTATCTTTCAAACCAGTTTTGCAAGAGGTAGAAACGTGTATTCACCTTCTGGGTAGACTGTTTCTTTGCAAAAGTAAAGCTAAGGCCACAGAAGATGAGATATTTGTTTGAGAGTCTTTTGCTCCAAGGAAGGACATGCCGGCCTGATTGTCCCCTCAGTCAGGAGGGAGAATCGTGAAAACGAGCCAAAGCAAGCTCTACGGCATTATTTATTGAAGACTGAATTAAGACTGAGTCATTCAGACTCTGAAAAATACCGATGTTGGATTATGGTGCATCTGATGGGCCTGTCCCACAGGGAACCATTATGGGGGGTCTGGTTCCCCAAGTGAAAAATGGACAATTTTTTTTGTCAAGCTTTCTGGGAAGCTGGCAGCTTCCGGGACAAGAAGTGAAGACTTGGAGAGGCTTTAGGCTGAAAGCGACTCTCTGGGCCTCTGGACTGCTGGGCCTGGGCTCTGAAGACCGGAGACAAACTCGAGGGAACTCCAGGGTGGTGGACAAGAAAAGTCAGTCTTTATCACTCGGAGTGCCCTGTGTAGACAATGATGCAGTGCTCAGGACTTTCACGAGGGCCGAGGCCTCATGGAGAGGAATCATCTCCACCTCACTGAGGAAACAGAGGACCGGGCAGTATTTCCGAGGTCCCCGCCGCCTTCAACCTATATTCTTTCCTGTCCTTATCCTGCTCAGTCTCTCGTCACAACCCGAAGTGTTGCTTCAACCCCACAGGAGAAAGTCTGTGGTAACTTAGAGAAGAGCGGAATATGTTCATCCCCAACATGTAGTCACCAGAGCTGCCCGGACAAATCCGTCAGCGGTGGTGACAGTGAGCCGGTGCAGACTGGGCAGCTGCACTGGGCGTGGTCCCATTCCAGCAGGGGGTCTCTGGTGCTCCTGACTCCTGACAGCTCTCTTCCTGTGACAAGGGTGGTCAGCAAAGCCAGGAGCCTCAAAGGGGACCATCTCTCGATCTTCTCCCATCTCCCGAGAGAGTGCACAGAAGCAGACACCTGTCGGTCACAGTGAATCTAGTGATAATTACATAAATCACTAACTAAGTATTTGGCCATCAATGTTTCTCATTTCAAAGTGCGTGTAAATCTCTATCTACCGAGTCGCATTGCCGGCAGAACAGAATTCCAGGGAGAGATTGTGGGCCAGAGAAGACAAAGCCTGGAGGTCGTTTTAAAGCCGGGAACACATCTTAATACTTTTCTAATTGTTCTGTTTTTTCTTATGGAAATGTTCAAACATACCAAAAATAGAGAAAATATGAGTCCCATTCTACCAATAACCTGGCTTCAAAAATTATGGGCAGTTTTACAATTTTGTTTCATTTATACTGCAACTTTGTTGGGTGCTGGACTATTTTAAAACAAATCACTGATAACATGTCCTTTCATCCATGGACACTTCAGTACCATTGGGAAAAGTCCTTAGATTAATCTATTAACCTTAAATCTATAAATCTGTATAACACATCAGATTCTAATGAATTGCTTCTCTTGCCAAAGTTTCCCCTTTGCTAAAACTAGAGGATAGTCATCTAAATAGCTGTTATAATAGAGACACACGACTTGTCCATTCATGAGACATAGTATTCTTAAAACAGGAGCAGAGTTCTAAGCTGACATCCCAATAATTTAGTGATCGTTGATGTACTGCCTATATTTTAAGGAGCAGGTAATTTAAACGTATGGTATGGATTCAGTAGTCTGATCTTTTATCTATTAGCCGCAGCTGGGAGAATTTATATGGCATTTGACCACCCTCAGATTCTCAAAAATTAGAGCAGGTAATGGGTTGCCTGTGTGACCTAGTCCAAGGCCAGCCCTCAGCCACAGAGATGAGATCACTGTCTGTTTCTCTCTCTCTTTCTTTAATTTTTTTTTTAGGCGAGGCAACCCTTGGTTGACCTCACAGATTGCAAGGACCTTGTCAGCTTACAATCCTTTATTTTTTTATTTTTTACACTTACAGCACCTGGTCTTCCTAGGTGGTCTCCCATCCAAGTACTAACCAGGCCCGACCCTGCTTTGCTTCCAAGATCAGATGGGATCGGGCTTGTTTGGGGTAGCATGGCCGTAGACTGTTTCTCTCTCTCTTTAAAAGAGAATTAAAATCACAGGGCATAAAAGAATAATTCAATAAGTGGTATAGCAATTTTTGGTTAACTACTCAATAAAAAAATTTTAGAGTCTCAATTCATATCACATATCAATATAAACATGGACTAGAGTAAGAGATCAAATGTGGAAAATCAATCTGTAAATAACTAGAAGATAATAAAAGTGAATGTTGATCAAATTTCTGGGTGGGGACCAACTTTCTAAATGTTAAAACAACATAGGAAATCACAAAAAGAACTGATAAGTTTGACTACATAAAATTTATAACTTATATACAGGACAAATAATAACAAGTGTTGGAAAGGTTATGGGGAAAAAGGAACCCCCATACACTGCTGGTGGGACTGCAAACTGGAAGACAGTATGGAGGTTCCTCAAAAAACTAAGAATTGATCTACCATATGATCTAGCAATCCCTCTTCTGGGTATTTACCCCCAAAACTTGAAAACATTTCATCCACAAAGACTTATGCACCCCAATGTTCACGGCAGCATTATTTATGATGACCAGGACATGGAAGCAACTGAAGTGTCCTACGATAGATAATTGGGTAAAGAAGATGTGGTACATATATACAGTGGAATATTACTCAGACATAAGATGAAATACTGCCATTTGTGAAGACATGGTCGGATCTTGAGATAATCATGCTAAGCCAAATAAGTCGGACAGAAAAAGTTGAAACTACATGATATCACTCGTGTAGAATATAAAACTGAAGCGACAAACATGACAGAGATTCATGGACTCGGACAGTGGATTAGTGGTTACCAGAAGAAAGTGGGGGGAAGGGGAGGTAGAAAGGGCGAAAGGGGTCAAATATTTGGTGACGGAAAGGAATCTAACTCTGGGTGGTGAACACACAATGCAATATCTATACGACTTTCTGTTGAATGATACACTTGAAACACTTGATTTTGTTAATGTCACCCCAATAATTTTTAATTAAAAAATTGTATGTCTAAAACAAAACAAAATTTAGAACTTATATATATTTTATTCATTAAGTAAGCACCATTAAAACCATACAATAAATTGGAAATGATATCGGCAAAAATTATGTCAGACAAAAGATTAATATTCTCACTTCATAAAGAAGTCACGCAAATTGATAACAAGAGCATGAAGACCCCAGAGGATAAGTGAGCAAAAGGCATCATGGACAGTGCACAGAAGAGGAGCCACAAGTCACCAACATATGTTTCAAAACCATGATTAGATTCAGTCAA